CAGTGAAAATGGCAGAGTAAGGACCTCTGTACGTGCTCTCATCCATAAAAGCAGTAAGAAAACTGTCAAAATATGCCAGAACTAATTTTTTTTTAGTACTCTGGAAAGAAAAGTTCTGCAATCTGGGAAGCATCGATTTGGGGAAAACAAGTGAATGTAAGAACCAACAGATATTTTTGTGTTGTTTTAACTTACACTATTCCCCTCCCTCCCTCTTCAGTTCCGCAGTAGCCTTGAAAGCCAGTAGCTCCGTAATCACAGTGCAGACCGTTGGCCTGGCGGCCGGTGGAGGGGGGGTGAATGGAGTTGAAGCTCTTTCCAAGCCCCTTCTTCCTCCTCGTCCTATAAGCTGTGATGTACCATGAGTCCTGAGAACTATTAGTAAAGAAGACAATTTCCAGTGTCAGTTACAGTAACACCCACCATTAGCTGTTGACGGAGTCTGGGAACACTTGAGATGTTCTACTGGGCACAGGACTACAGCTCATTGGCCTCAGTTATCCATAGGGGACTGTGCAGGCTCCGGTGCTGCCTGGCGTTTTTAATAGACCCCTGTGAACGGGAGGACAGTTTCAGTCTGGCTCAGTTCAAATAGTCTCTATCTGTAGTTTCATAGTAGCTTCAGGAAGGAAATGTTATAGGAACTGGTTTCACTTTATGTAATTGTCTATCAGAACACGTGATTAGAACAAGGGTATTAGTTTACCCTTGCCTCCCACTGAGTCACCAGCTTAATTCCTATAAAGCTCAGGTCTTTGTGGAAAGTGTATTTGAATAGATTAGTGCTTGTGAAAGGTGAAGAGAGCTTAGCCTGAAGGTTGTGTCGTAGAACCGGACGCAGGCAGCCTTACATACCCTCTCCAAGATAGTATGTTGAATTATATCTTCTTGTGTTAACATGATTATGCAACAGCACCGTGTAGATACAATGTTTGGCAGTTGTGAGTAGTTTCCTTTGAGCTGTTTGAATTTTTAATTGGTGGCTGATTATTGCTGTGATTTCCCATTGCTCCCTAAGGGAAAGGGAATCAGTGCGACACATACACCTGGAAGAATTTTGTGGCCCTACTGTTACCCTCATCCTCTTTCTATAGAAACTGTTCATCATTGTCTTCTGGCTTTTTGACCTCCAGGTGGACATTCACAGCACCAGGGAATTGGCTTGTTAAGGCCTCATTTTTCTGATGTTGATACTTGTTTCTTTTGTTCCATGTGTTGTGGTGGGATTGGATCTCATTACTGAAACCCTAACCTGTGCTTTATGAGGGTAGATCAGGAGCAACTCTCTACCTCAGAGGCCTTCTAGGGTGATTGAAATGGGAAAAGCGTTATGGTGACACTAGAGGCCCGGTGCATGAAAACTCATGCACTAGAGGCAGGGGTCCCTCAGCCCGGCCTGCTCCCTCTCACAGCCTGGAGCCCTCAGGGGCAGGAGGCGACCCAGTGATCAGGGGAAGGTGACGGTCCATCACACCTCTGCTGCTGCTACTGCTGGCAGCACAAACCTCGGCTGGCCCTGGTTACCTGAGCATCCGGTGGTCCTGGGCAGCTGGGCAGCTGCCAGCCAAGGCTTGCCTGTACCTTTGGCCCACCCTGGGCAGCTGGAGGGCTGATGGGACTGGGTGCCGCTATTTTGTGGCTGTGGGCACCACCATGTTTGAGGGTATGGCAGTCAATTAGCATATTCCCTTATTGTCTGTGGCATTGCCATCTTTGAGGGCGGGACAACAATTAGCATATTCCCTCCTTATTGGCTGTGGGCGCTGCCATCTTTGAGGGCAGGACAGTCAATTAGCATAGTCCCTCCTTATTGGGTGCCACTATCTTTAAGGGTGGGACAGTAAATTAGTATATTCCCTCCTTATTGGCTGTGGGCGCCGCCATCTTTGAGGGCAGGATAGTCAATTACAATAGCATAGTCCCTCCTTATTGGGCGCCACTATCTTTAAGGGTGGGGCAGTAAATTAGTATATTCCCTCCTTATTGGCTGTGGACACCACCATCTTTGCAACAGCGTGAGGGTCAGTTAGCATAAACCTCTTCATTAGATAGGATTCCCCAGCCAGTCCTCTGTCTTAGGGGGATTTAAACCTATACCATCCACAATAGTTTGTTTTCTATGCAGTGTTCTTTTTCTTTATTTGGAAAGTAATTCACATCTATTGTAGAACATTTTAAATTAGATAGAAATAATGAACGAAGTATCTTGTAATTTTTCCATTCAAGGAACCACAAGACAGGTATGCTTTGAATCGCCCTTGGTAATACTTCACGTTCAGTCACATTCATTGTCATGTCATCTCCATGCTACTCATCTCATTCCTTTTATACTTATTTCTTGAATGAGATCCCCATTTGAAAACAACTTTCATATGCCTAAAGACAGTTACCAAGTGTAAGTCTATGTTAACTCAGTTAAGTCTGGCTTGATTCAGAAAAGGATGACTCTGTGGGGATTTTTAAAGTGTGATGCTTTGCAAAAAAAAAGGTTCTCCTTTGAGAATGTGTGACTGCCTTCACCCCAACATGTTGTGCTTTGCAGGGGTGTGTGTAGTTATTGAGTTTGTTTTACATATTTATAATGTGTATGTGACAGGCAGAGTAGGCAGGGGCTGGAGTGTGGACAAACCACATCGTAATAGAAGGGCTTTCAATGGGGTCATCTATTGCTTCTAACCTAGATGGTAAGGCATGGAGGACCAAAGCAACATCTTTATCCTTCATTTTAGCACTTAGACTCTCACATAAACAGTAAATGCTCAGTAAAACAAACCCTGGAGCTTCAACAAGAGATTTGTTGGATTTTTGCACTGGTAGAGAGCCCAGATGCCAGTTCTTCTCACCTTTCCAGGTGTCTTTGTTGTGGTAAAGGGGCTGCATCAATTGTTAGTCTTAATGCAACTGGTTATGGTTGGTATTTTGGCGTCAACTTGGTGGACTTCATGAAAACCAGCTTTTTGGGAATGGGGTTTTTGGATAGTATCCCTTTGCCGCTGAATTTTAAACCTCAAAAAAGAAAATAGTTTAATAACTAAAATACTATTCTAATTAATCTGGTTTTTTTTTTTTTTTTGCTGTTTTCTGCAAGTAATGACAAAGACATTGGCTTTTTATTTTTTTGTTACTCCTCACCTGAAGATATTTTTCCATTGATCTTGAGAGAGAGAGTGGAAGGGAGGGGATAGACAGAGAAAGAAAAACATCAATGTGAGAGAGACATCAATTGGTTGCCTCCCATATATTTCCTGGCCAGGGCCAGGGATTAAGCCTGCAACTGAGTTACGTGCCCTTGAACACTTCTGTCATTGACTCTGTCTATAGCAAACCTGGGACCTTTCAGTCTGCAGGCTGATGCTCTATGCACTGAGCCAAACTGAGTAAGGACATTTGGCTTTTTAGAGTCTTATTACAATATAGCTGAAGAACCAGATTAATAGATAAAATTAAGGAACTTGCTATGTTACTTTACATCTCTTAGGAAACGCCATAAGGTGTAAATTTGATCTACTTTCTGGAGTTTTAAGCTTTGTTTTGAAGAGACGCAGACATGTGTGAGTGTGTAGACTGGCCTGCACCACCTTCCTTCAAGAGTTATTTGCTTTGGTCAATATATATATATATATATATATATATATTTTTTTTTTTTTTTTTTTGATTTTTTTACAGAGAGAGATCGAGAGCTAGAAATTCTGAAAAATGAATTAGGCCAACTTCCACTGCTGAAATTCTATTTCCCAGTGTGAACAATGTGGGGAAAATCCTTGAGTAAAGCATTTGCCTTATAAGTGGCACGACGGACAAACAGATTTTAAATATTCAGCTCTATTAGGCAAGGGACTTATTGTAGTATTGTATTATCAAAAATGTATTTGGCTCATTAGTGGGCTCATGTGGAAGAATGATCTTTCTTACATTTGGTGGTTTTTTAATGGAAAATAAAATTTAAATGAGCTGAACAGTTTCAGGCAAAACTGTCAGCTCAGTTTTCAACTCTCAGCCTGCACCTGGGGACTTTTGAAAACAATGTTAATCATAACTTCCTTAAAGTTCTAATTAGTTCAGCTCAAGAAGGAAGGGCTGTGTCTTATTTTGTGGGACCCTTCTGTCATTGACTCTGTCTATAGCAAACTAGAAGTTGACAACTTTGCTACATTTCAGGCTCGGAGTGGCAGAGAAGACTGTCCTCGGAGGCAGTCATTTACAGCTCACGTGGAAGCCTCCAGCCTGGTCACGTTTTCCAATTGCACCTGTTACTTGACATTTCACTTCTTTATTACTCGCAGGCTCACACATGCCCAGAGAGAACTACCACAGCTTAGCCATGTAGAGTCTCTAGAATGGATCTGATGTTGAAACATCTGAATCCTGCAAAATATGAGCATATTCTCCTCCTAGTTCCAGCTGCCATACCTGGCTGTAGGTGAAGGATCAGGTTGTGGAGGCATTTGTATGCTATTAAGGCTGTGCATGCCATTAAGGTCTAGTATCGCAGGCTGGTATCAAAGTTGCTAATATATGACCTTGCCCAGGCTTGAACTCTGAATCCTGGACTCCTGGGAGCATGCATGGGAAGGTTCAGTAAAAATAGTGTGAAAGATTGGAAGTCTATATGTGAGCTAAGTTTCACCTGTTCACTTGTTGGCAAATGCAATCTGCCTGCATTTTTACCTCAGATCACCTCTGCCAGTCTTGCTGGGCCTACTGGTCAGGAGCTGGGAACTGTTGTTGAATCCCACGTACAGTAAGACTTGTTATATGGTTGTATGAAATTAAGTTTCATTACCCATGAATGATGACCAGCGCACCCAATTATGAGGTCCTCCCAATGTACGGAAATAGCTTTGTGGTGATGGGTTTATTGTTGGTGGTTTTGAGCTACAATCTTCAATTTGGTGCAGGTAAAGGTAGAGAGCAACATCCATTTTTGTTTTTTTAAGTGCATATTCCTATGCTAAGAGTATAATCTGTAGTGTTATAGAAGTTTCCCTTTTTATTTGTAGATATAATACTTTGCCAAGCAGAAGAACCTTGAAAAATTCAAGATTAGTGAGTAAGAAGGATGACGTGCATGTCTGCATCATGTGTTTACGTGCCATCATGAATTATCAGGTATGTTTGTGTTTCTGATCCTTGAAAAAAAATCTGAATTTGTCAAACTCCAAACTTGTCCTTTTTGGTTTCCTTGTATTATTTCTGTTTGAAGTAAACATCAGGATTAAGTGGGATACTATTGAAAAAGAAAGGACTGTTTTTTTTTTTCCTAACGCACAATATTTATTGCCTTGATATTTTAATTAGCATTTATTATGTATTTAACGGGAAGATGTTTGCTTCCTACAGTGTTAAACTTGTCTAGATTACTTGATCAACGTTTGCAACCATTTAAGACTGCAGTAACAGGACAACTTTAGAACATTAGGAATGAGTAACTTATCCCTGGGTTGGTCATTGATTCTCAAAGGGTTCTGTGGTGAACAGGCAAAAAGTGATAATTATTTGGACCCAGTGAGTCCTAGTATCTATAAGAAGCACCCAGAGGATTTTTGTTACAAGTTGAGTTCCTTCTTCAGGTGATTTGATGTAGGTTATCTCCTCTCTGAGAAACAGTGGGAGAGAGTGAATTGTAGAGGGGTTGGATTAATCCTAACAGGGAAGTGGAAGTTAGAGCCTGGGATATCTAAAGTAAACGGACATGGCCAAAGGTATAATTAGATCAGCTAACCAGGGTGAGAATTAGAAAAACAAAACTCATACATAAAAATAGGATTTGATTTCCATCTATAAGGATGCTACAGGTGGGCTCAAGAAGAAATGGGAAATAAATACCACGTAGAAGGTCAGTAATTGAGTTCAAAACCAGCCCAACCTAATGGTGCTGAATTGAGTTAAAAAAGGGAAACATTTATTTATTTATTTATTTATTTATTTATTTATTTATTTATTTTAGGGTTTTTTTGTTTGTTTTTTTTGTTTGTTTTTTTGTTTTTTTGTTTTTGCATTGCCAGACTCTCTTCTAAGCACAGGGAATACAGCATTAAATAAACAAGTGTCCCAGGGAACTAACTTTCTAGTGTGAGAGAGAGATGATAAATAGTTAAACTATATAGTGCTCCAGATACGGTTGCTGATGAGATGAAAACTAATCTTTATAAGTACTTTCCATGTTTTTAAGCCTATTAATTAATGTAAGACTCAAAAACAGTCCTGTGAAGTCTCAGGACTATTACTTTCCCCATTTTACTTATGAGGAAACTGAGCGATAAGTTAGAGAAGTAATTTGCTCAGTATTGGTTAATAAGTGCTGGAGTCAGATTCGAACCCATGAAGATTGTCTCCAGAGATCTATTACTAGGTGCTACAGAAGAAATAATCAGGAAATAAGAATAGGAAGTGATGGAAATATGTGTTCGGTTTTAAATAGGCCAGCAGGAAAGTGTCACGCGATAACATTTAGGAACAACTTGCACGAGGGAACAGGCTAAGGGATATGATAGAAAGTGGATTCCAGGCAGAGAGAAGAGTGAGGTCAAAGGCAGTGAGACAGGAATAAGTGTGATGTGATTGAGGTACAGAAAAGAGGGCAGGTTAGGTGGGTCAGAGTGAGGAAGAGGGAAAGGTAGAAGAAGATGACATCTGAAGCTAACAGGGCTTCCTGGTTGTGTGGGGCTTTGTAAGCCACTCAGAAGACATTAGCTTTACTATGAATGAAAAGCTATTAAAGGGTTCTGATGAAAAGTGTGAATTAATCTCACAGTTGAATTTAACACGATCACTCTGGTTTTTACGTTTAGGAGTAACCTTGAGGGGCAAAGACTAAAGCAGGTAGACCATTTAGGAGGCTATTGCATTAATTTAAGTAAGTGTTGATGATTGTACGGACTAGGATTGTAGGAGTAGAGATGGTGAGAGGTGGCTAGGTTCTGGTTTGATGTTGTTGGTAAAGACAATAGTATTGCATATGTGGTGAGGAATGGCTCCAAAGTATTTGTCCTGGGCACCTGTTAGATGGAGTTGCTATCTACTAAGATGGGGAAGGCTGCAAGATGAGCTGATTTGAGACTCATGATTAGGAGCTCTTTTTGGAGGATGTTAACTTTAAGGTGTTCATAGACATCCAGTAGAGACCTTTAGATACCTGGTTAGATATGCCATTTGAAGTTCAAAGCAGAGGTCCGGCTGGAGAGACAAATTTGGGAGTTAATAGATGGTATTTGGATGAGGTAATCAGATGCACAGAGAAGCAAAGAGGTCCTGGATAATCAGGGAGCATTCTGTTTAAATATCAGAGAGATGAGGAAAAACTAGCTAGAGAGACTGAGAAGTAGCCAGGGAGGTAGATGCCAAGTGCAGGAAATGTTTCAAGGTATAGTGCTCAGCTGTGTCCAGTGCTGTGCTAAGTCACGTAAGATGGGGAGTGAGAGAGTGGGCCATTGGTGATCTTGGTACGGACAGTTTCATTGGAGTGGTAGTGATGATATGCCTGATTAGAGGGTTTCAGGAGAGAACAGAGGAGAGAATGGGAGTGCTAGAGTTTTTCTGTAAAAGATAGCGGAGACATGAGGCAGTAGCTGGAGAGTATAGGGTTGAGAAAGATTTGGTTGTTGTTACTTAGGGTAAGATCATTTGCATCATGATTTTATGCTAATGGCAATGAATTAGAGAGGAAAAATAATGGTGGGGCTTGGGGAAGTTGTATATTCCCCAGAGCAGGAATAAAGGACTCAATTGTGACTTGACCTTAGATTGGAGCATGGGAGAATTCATCTTGAGGAAGAGGTGAGGAGGTAATCCAAAGATCTATGTGGGGAGGACTCATGTGATGGTGGAAGCTTTCGGAAGCTTTTTCTGCTAATACTTTCTCCTCAGTGTCACTGGGAATAAAGTCATAAGCTAGGAGTTGAGTTTGCAGGAAAAGGAATAATTCCTCAACTCAGCAGAATCAAGAATGATTCTTGAGCCTGTTAATGGAACTTTCTTCATTTTGTAGAAGGATGAGGCACACGAGTTTTGCTAGGCTTTCTGTCCTGTTTGCCATGGCACAGAGAAGGGGTTAGAAGCAGTGGTTATTAATCCTGGCTGAGCAGTGGAGTCCTTCTGAGAGCCTCAGAAAATTCAGATGCCAGAGTCCCTCCCTTGAGACTCATTGTTTTGTTTTGTTTACTCTTTTGGGTGATTTTAATGAGCAGCCAGGATTGAGAATCAATGGGCGGGAGCCATTTCACCATTTTACTAAAGAGGATCATATAGTTTATTCATAAAGTCTGGGAATAGGGCCCTTTGATAGTAACATCATTCCTGAACTTTTTCCCGGAGATATGTTCAGACACTGATTACTGTAGTCATGAATGCATTTAAAGATAGCAGAAATTACATTAGGTAGAAACTTTATGGGGTTGCTTTTATCAACATTGGGAGCCCCTAGGATGACTCCTAATACCTTGTTTTTTTCCCCCCACCTTAATTTCAGTATGGTTTCAACATGGTCATGTCTCATCCACATGCTGTCAACGAGATTGCACTAAGCTTGAACAACAAGAATCCAAGGTAAGCTTGATTTGTAATGTATCAATACAAGTTTAAATCCAACTAGCGAAAGCAGAGAGCTAGTCAACACTTAACTAAGAGTTTGGAAACTTGCAAGTGTGACTCTTTGAAATAAGATTGCCAGTGGACTCCTTGCTATATAGACCAGCTGAGTGAGATTCTTACATGTGGCAGAGTTAAGCAACTGGTGACAATTCCAGCCCTTCTCTCTCCTCTTTAAGCCTTCACTCCTTTTGAGACCTAGTTCTCAGCATCCTCGTAAATTTAGCAAAATTTGGCGGAGAACATGATGTTGCCAATTATCATACAGACTTACCAGGTATTGCCAAAAGCTAACTAGAACCACGATCCCTTATCCACACTTCACTTGCAATATTTAGACCTGTAGCTTTTATTACCAAAAGTAAAACACAAACAAAATAATAATTGTGCATGCAGATTTCACTTTTTGTTGTTTTGTTAATCCTCACCTAAGGATATTTTTTCCCATCGATTTTCAGAGAGAGGGAGGGATAAGGAGGGAGAAGAGAGAGACAGAGAGAAAAAATATATAGATGTGAGAGACACATCAATTGGTTGCCTCCCACACCCATCCCAACTGGGGCCAGGGACCAAACTTGCAGCCCAGGCACGTGCCCTTGATCAGAAATCGAACCCATGACCATTCCCTGTAGGGGCTGACACTCTAATCCACTGAACCATACCAGCCAGGGCCAGATTTCACTTTATTTCATTTTCCTATAAAGGCCAGTGCCCCATATTATTCACATCACAGATTACTTCTGGAAGCCTGCCTTTATCAGTTTATTTTCGTTATTCTAATATGTTTTACATTCTGGTGAGGCACTCCACATTTGAAATGTGTTGTTCCCCTTTATCAGACACCTCTGTGTAGAATATCTGTCTGAAAACTGTTAATTCACGTAAAGGAATCTGGTTATAAATTAGACCCTATCTGACCTGGAATGCAATGCAAAGCACAAGTCCTATTTAGATGTTGATAATGGCTTCAACCTTCCCCGGATTAAAGCTTTTCAACTTCACGATTGCTTTCTTAGTTTACAAGAATCCCAAGTAGTCATGCTTCTGTGTCCCTGTCTTCCCCCTCAGGAACTCACTATTCCTTAAGATTAATAACTGTGGATTATTCAGAATGGTCTTTGTTTAGAGGTCAGTAATAGATTTTATTCCAGAAAATGGTGAAACACTGAAGTTATCTTAAAATGAAGAAACAATGCTGTCCTTGACATTGTATTAAGAAACTTGGAATGTATCTCTAGGTTCTCCTAAAAATATTTCAGATGGAGTTTTATTTTCTTTCCTTGAGTCACAGAGAATATTCTCGTATTAGTAGAGCTGAAATCCAGATCCTTTCACACCTCCTGCAGAGGAAGAAACTCGCCTTGTCATAGGGGATTTTTATGGCGCCATGTGCAAATTAGCAGATGTGAAATGTAGGGCTTTAATTTCAATCGATTTTGAACTTTCTTGACAAATGTTATGTTTCTGATTCTAAAAACCAGAGACAATATTTAACAGGGGGTTGTTTTCCTGAATATTCCCAAGTTTCCTATTGTCTCTGGCTCACTAATAAATATTTTTCAGACACACTGTACTGAGTCATCTGATGATGGGACTAAAAGATGAATCTTTCCAGAATTAATTTTCATTAGTGAGTAATTTGTAACTTAGAGAATGGGAAACATGCCTCCAAATTTGCTACCCTAGTTAAGTCTCTTATTATAGAGGTAGGCAAAGGTCTAAGTATGTATGTAAGTGTAACTATACCTTAGTAAAAGTTTATAAAACATACGGAGAAATATTTTATTATATTGATCTTGGATGCCAGGAACAGCAGATTCATCTTGTCACTTTCACTGACTCATGGTTTTTTCTTTTTCTTCTTGTTTTGACAGAACAAAAGCCCTTGTGTTGGAACTGTTGGCAGCCGTTTGTCTCGTCAGAGGCGGGCATGAAATCATTTTATCAGCATTTGACAACTTTAAGGAGGTAAGATACTTTTCCATTTTAAAAAGAATCCTCACACAAACATCTTACACTTAACCTTCTTATTCATTCTAAGGTGTAAGGGGTATAATAGTTAGTTTTCTAACCCGTCCGTGAGTGGGTAGTAATGAACTTAGTCTAAATAGCTTATGTGGAATGGTGTCTCATTTCCAAGAAAAGTTAAAGACTATTCGCAGTACTTGTTTTCCTTGGGAGAACATAACACAGGCGAGTTGAAAACGGGTTTTGTTAAATGTTACGTGGTTTTCATTATGGTTGATACTTGAGCATCCCCCATCTAAATTTCATGAACTCATTCATCATAGTTCTTTTCTTCAAATCATATGTGCTATCATTACTCTGCTGAATGCTATGAAAAACTTATCACCTATATACAGGCACTGGTTTTGGCAGCTTGTAATCTTAAACAGGGGATCCTGCCCCAGGAAAACAATAAACTAGTGGATATGCATGGTTGACCATGGAAATTAAATGACGGCAAAGGAAGAAACAGTTACGTATGAATAATAGGACACCAAGGGTTCCGGGCCAAAGTATCAAGACCTCAAAACTGGAATAATAGCCAGTTTCCCTTAGGGGTGGTGTGCAGTGTTACATGGCAAAAGAGAGTGCCAGTTGGGTCCCCTAGAATGTGCCCCACATCTGAGGCTGCTTTGAGGGGAGATAGTACAAAAGTAATTGAAGGCACTTGGAGCCCCAGGATACCGTGGGACTGTGAGCCACACTGTGTCTTTTCTGTCAATCCCATTTGATTCTAGATGCTTCTGGATTAATACCTAGAAGCTAGATTACAATCCAGATCTCGGGGGTCTTCCATACTCTCTCCCATCTTTTCTGGATTTATTGAGGGCCTATGATAGGCCAGGGGCTGTGCCTGGTACACACAGGAGATCACTGAATTCTGTACGGATCTCTGTGAGACAATATATCTCCCTGTTATAAAAGAATAAACTAAGATTCTAAGACATTGCTGGCCCGAGATCACAGAGCCAGGATCGGGCTTTGGTGCTCCTTACTTTGGACTTCCTTCCAGGTGCTATTTGGGCCCAGTTCTGTGTGGATCTCCTGAGGGAAACGCTGAGTTAGACAGGACCTTCGGGCCATTCCCCCCACCCGGCCTCCTTTAACTGTATCACAGAGCAAGTCATTTTCATGTCAAAAACACGTACTATACAATTATCCGTGAGCCTTCTGATAAAATGAGCTATTTAACGAGCATCTGACTATACTGCAGGCCACATTATGTCCTAAAATTATGAAGGTATAGAATCAGTATTAACTAAATTCAGTAATTTATGAGGGGAATGTTAATTTTATTTTTTCTTAGGTTAGCTAGAATGCCTTTCTTACGCATAGCACACAAATCCTTGCAAATTGAGTTTTGGCTGTCAGGTATCAAAATCATATATGATGACTTAGGCATTTAGGGTGTAATATATACTTAGATGTGAAAAAAAAAAGTAATCCTACTCTAAATCTAATAACTGGCTAGTCTCGATGAGAACAAATTAATTGTGACTTCGAAATTTTAGAGCTTTAACTAAAATCTGCCTCTTTTCTGTAATTACTTGTAAGTAATGGTGGGTGTTTTAAGTTCTGATTCTCCTTGGGCAGGCATTTGCATCTGCAAGATGTGGGAGAAGGGGCGAGGACAGAGCTGGCTCTGTGTGCGCTGTTGGCCTGCATTAACCTCAGCCATGGTGCGCACGTGGCCAGGCCGAGCAAAGGGATTATTCTTCTAGCCATGAATGAGGACCGGGCGGGAGCCTGTCCCTGGGAAACTTCCTTCTGATGGAGAGGTCGCAAGAGCATCATCCTAGTTACCTTCTCAGTGTTAGTGTAAAAACTGTTTGTTTGTTTTTTAATATATTTTGTTGATTTTTCACAGAGAGGAAGAGAGAGGAATAGAGAGTTAGAAACATCGATCAGCTGCCTCTTGCACTCTCCCTCCACTGGGGTCGTGCCCATAACCAAGTTACATGCCCTTGACCAGAATCAAACCTGGGACCCTTCAGTCTGCAGGCCGACGCTCTATCCATTGAGCCAAACTGGTTTCGGCTGTTTGTTTTTTTAATGTAATACCACTCACAGCCCAATCTTTTAAACCTCTGCCTGTTTTTGTTTTGTTTTATTCCCATCTTTATGTGAGTGGATCTTTTTCTCCCTTAAACATCATAGTGAAGGGTGTATTCTATAATCTTTTTAACCAAAATGTCATTGGAATCTTCTGGGATTAGGGTGGTTTGGAAGCCAGCTGTTACAGATCAGGAAAAGTTGTCCTGTGATCTCAGATGCCCGTGTAAATAGGGTTTTCGTCAGTGAGTAATATCTACTGAGCTGCCCCTGGCAGAGACAGCGCCATGCCAGGTACCGGGAGACCAGGGAGCAGGCCCGAGGAGTCTTTACCCTCAAGAAGATGATTTTGTAAGTTGGGATTCCATTCATTCCATTCATTAGAGAGGGGTAATCCTTGTTTTTACAGTGAGGAATGGGGTATCAGGCATCAGTATTCATTTTTGAATAAAGTAGTATGCATTAGGGTAACCAGACCTTTGCACACAGCACAGCCTAGCACAGTGCTGAGACATGGCACCAGATTCTAAAGGAAAATTTAAAGACCACACATTGTATAATATGTAGATAGCAGGCCTCCCCCACTCTGTTTCTTGAGCAAATTTTTTCTGTCCTTAATTACTCCTTAATTCAAATGTAAACTGAAGAAGGTATCTTTTACCTCTTGATAGGTTTTTATGTAGGATTACACCATTCCCTCATATTTCAATTAATCAGAATACCAGCAAGTTTTTTTGTGTGTGGGTTTTTTTCCCCCCCAAAAGAATTTTGCTCATGTTTTGTGCTAATCTGAAGTACAATACATGCTTTAGGAAAGTAGGACATACTTCCAATTGAATGATATCTGATGGTGGTAAGCATATGAAACTGCATTTTGGTGGGTGTGGGGCTGGGTCCTATGCCTGATGTTACTGAGTAAGCATATCAATGTGTATGATGATACATGAGTTGTAATTCCATGGATTCAGATGGCAGACTTGTACTAATCATGGTTTGTGACATACCTGACCTTGTGAGTGTTGCAAGTGGATGAAAACGAAACTGTTGTCAGCTGTTATTTCTACATGAATTCTGTTCTCTTTAATTGTTTTTCAAATGGAATTAGCGCATCTGGTTTTGGTGTTGAAACATTTCCTTATGCAAATGTATGGTCCTGAATTGAAGCTCGAAGGCTCCCTCAGAAAGCCAATGTGGTTTCGCTAGTGGGCATCTGTGCCTCACATTATTAAGTTGATTTAAGAAAGCCTGTCAGGTTTTATTTACAATGGACCATATTTGTTCTTATTGGCTAATTGAGCCACATGGAAAACATATCGCCATCTTCCCTAAAAGGACACTTTCTTAGCTGCATGGCAATATGTATTTTTTGAGCGTTTGGCCTGGCAGGGAGGGGAAAAAGGCATTTGGAAGGGAAGGCCATTCTTCTGGTGTTTGCATTAGTTCAGGGTCTTGTCTGCAAGAAGGAGAAGGTGACTGTACCGTGCAGAGGAAGGGCTGGTTGGAGGGTGTGGAAAAACGGGCCTAGAAAATGCTGTGCCTCGATGCCCAGCCACCACGAAACGACTTGGGGTCCTGGTCATGCTTTCTCTTCTCTCAAATGGAATGGACCATGGCTAGCAATCCACTGGGTCATGAAACCACACTTCCTGCTTAAGGACATCAACTGGAGCGTTATAAACACCATATTTAATCCAATTTCCTTCGGAACTTTCTATCGAGACCTTGATCTCCTCAACTGTCTTGGTCTTCCTACTTTTTTCCATTATGTCCTTTGATATATCTAAGAAATTGCCTCTGGCTAAAAAAACAAAAACAAAAACCAAACAAACAAAAACACCAACACAAGAAAAACTCCCATTTGAATTCAGAGGGGAAAAGTCCCGAGGCCCCATAGACTCTGCAACAGAATAGCCTCCTCTGACAGCAATAATACCCTCTGAGGGCGCTGAGCAAGCTCCCAGGCCCCCAGGCCGCTGGGACGTGCACCTGGAATTCATCAGGATTCCAGATCGATTATAACTGTGTTCTCATCTGCTTCCAACATGACAGCATCTGGCTCTCAACGAGCCAGTTGAGGCCAGAGTTTGGTTATTAAAGGCCCAGCTCCTTCCCGCTCTGACTGTCCAGTATGGATGGACGGAGCCCTGGGCCGTGAGTCACTCAAGGCCACCAGCGCTTGTACATGGCCCTGTTGGCAGCATCCATTATTATTGTTGCCTCTTGCTTGAAGGCTTCCTCAGAAAGTTGATGTGGTTTTGCTACTGGGCATCTGAAAGCACTTGTGCTTCACATTATTATGTTGATTTAAGAAAGCCTGTCAGGTTTTATTTACAGTGGACCAAATTGGGCAGGAAGGAGAGCAGACATTTTGGTGCCCTTCCAGCATCCCTGTGAGTTTAATCCCAGCTAATCTAACCTCTTGAATATTTGCGGGTGCTGCGTTATAAATCCAGCCCAAGACCAGCCGGGTAATGCCTTCAGTGGTAAAATTTTCAACCACTGGAGGGAAGGGTCCTTTTTTTTTTTTCAGTCTTATTGAACTGTGAGCAATATTTTCTCTCAATCTCAAACCAGGGAGCTACCGTTCTAGATAGAGCATTGTGTGCATTTCACCGTATCAGGCCAGAATTAGATTAAATTAATTCACTGAGGCTCCTCGCTAGCCAGTCCGTCTTCCTAGGATCAGGAAGCAAAGTCGCAGTAATGATTTTTTGGACTGTTTATTAACTATTGCTATTATTGCTTGTGCATAATAAATTACCCCAAATTTAGTTTTATCAGGCTCCAAGATTCTGTGGGTCAGGAAGTCAGGTGGGGTGTGGCAGGGGTGATGGTCCCTGCTCCGTCGCCTCCAGGGCCTCGTCCCGGAAGATCTGATCGTCTGGTGGCTTCCCTCATCTGTCTAGTTT